AATTTGGGTCAAATCCCTACCCTCTTTTGTTGATCCAAACGACCTCATAGATTATTTTAGGCAAAATACACTTGTATAGCCAAAACTATCACCTTTGTGTCGCTTACAGTCACTTTTGGCGAAATATCATTAATAGCCACTTCCGTCCAATTCTTTAACGGTGTAAGTTAACGTGCTGACTAGACTAACAAGCAGCGGGAGGCCGGGTGTTTTTCTTGGAATTCCCCAACCGGGGAAAAGAGAAGGAGGTCGGGGAAAGGAAGCAGGGGGTTTTACCTGGTTTCGGTCTGATTGACGGGATTTGGTGTTTTTAAGTTGTTATCATTATTTTAATTGTCCATGCCTATATAAAGGCGGAAACTTGGGTTTTAGGGTTAGTTTTTAGCAGAATAATGATTTTTATCTTGGTTTTGCGCTTGAAGCTTGAATGTTTTCTCTCTATCAATCAATTTTTTCCCTTTATTGTAGTCGAGATTCTACTCTTTTATATTGATAGAGCCTTCTCCTGATTTCGTGTTGAGATTGCACTTTCTATTCTATCATATCTCAAACAAACAAAAACCATGAAAAACTATTTTTTCTATTCGTTCTTGAAGCAGTACGACTTTGGTAACTACGAGTACATGATCCATGCTCATATCTAAACCTATCCGATTAGGCCGGATTCGGACTATTATCCACAATTATGGTTACTTTTGTCATCTTTATTAGTAGATGACATAGTGATCTCCGGGAATGTATCAAAAGAAAAAGCTACCAAATTGATGGAAATCATTATTGATTATGGAGAAATAACAGGGCAAAGAAGTAAACCATTCCAAGTCTTCAATATTCTTTAGTAGTGATGTGTTGGAGGAGAAAATACAGGAGATCATAGGGGAATTTTAAATATGGGCATATGCAGAAATGTGACGACCAAAGTTGTTCATATGAATTTCACACCAACAATGAATAGAAGTAAAAAAAGGTAGCTAACAAATTTTTAATAGATTGCGAATGACTTCGACTTGATCAATGTTGAAATACAAATATTTGTGTGTTGCATTTTTCAGAGAAATTAGGCTGGAAAGGAAAAGGGAATTTTATGAATGACAGTGGATTGAGTGGAGTACAAATATAAAACATGTAATCAAATTCTCTTCAAATTTTTTTGGAAAACAAAACACAATTATTGTGGAATTTTGTGATAAAAACTTATTTGTGTAATCCCAAATTTATGCATGACCAATTTCTAATGGTGTGTATGAACGGAAATAGCAGTCTAGCTTTCCATTTTTAATGTTATATCCCCCATTTTGCTCTGGATTGTGAATCTATATATAGCAGAGGCTGAGAACAAGTTTGTGAGTTTGGAGGATACAACAATCACACTTGTTCTAATTTGGATGATGTTGATACCTAAAATTATTTTAGGTTAATTCAATGCCGCATTAATTAGTCTCAGCGTTAAATTCGATACCGCATGAATAAAAATGGTGCCGTTTGGAGACAAGAAACATCGCGGAGTGGTAAAACGGCGCCGCGAAGCTCAAAACTCAACAACATCGTGAAACTAGCAAGAGGTGTTGTTTAGCTAAAAACAACACCGCGGATTAGAAAACGACAATGTTTAATATAAAACCATGTCGCGGAGTAAAATAGCAAACAGTGTTGTTTGGGGAAGAAAACGACACCGCGAGTAAGCCAAACATCATTACGGTACTTGAAACGACATTGTTTAGTAGAAAACAATATCGTGAGCCATGGGTCAGGAATTCATTCGGCTATGCAATGTTGGTGTTGCGGTTGGAAGAGGAGTGTTCTTTTTTTCCTTGTCGGAGAAGGAGAGGATTCGACAAAGGTAGCATCACACCTGCGGTCTCGGCAAAGCCGCGGAGTTGAAAACGATATCGCGAGAGGTATCAGCAATGTCGCGGTATTGGTGAGCGACGCTGTTTGATTAAAAACAATATCGCAGTGATGAAAGACGGCTCGTCAAGTCCAACGATGTTGTTTAGAACAAAACAACGTCGCAAGTTCATAGTTGGCCATTTTTATTTGAATTAAAACAAGTAAAATACAAATGGCGTTGTTTGGTGAAGAAAACAACGTCGAGTAGGACCAAAGACGTCGCGACATTAGAAACGACATTGTTTGGAAGGGAGCAATGTCGTTGGGCAGGGGCCATCATTTAAACGATGTCGGGCCATCAATGTTGTGAAGTTGAGATTTGGTGCCAACGTTGATAAACCAAAACGACATTGACCACCGTCAATCTCTGTCGACTTAGGAGATATGGCCTAAGTTGGGCCATTAAACTTGTTTTGTATGACATAAAAAACAAGGTCGTGAGGTCATCATCGAGATTGGTCCAGCTTGGAGGAACTCAACAACGCAATGAGATCAACTAGACAACGAGTTTAGCAGCCTCACGACCATCATGACAGCGACAATAGTCAAGGCAAACGATGACAAGGTCGCAAGCTCAACGAAGTCGTGAATGATATTGCAAGTTCGACATGGTTTTTTAGAGTATCGAACTGTGGTAGGGGAGGTATGTGATTTTGCTCGGTGTCGTTTTGCCAAGATACCGCATAGCCGAGCGATTTCGGGGCTCGTGATTATCACGCAACAAGGGGGAAGTTACCTGCATGGTTGAGAAAGATGCAGAACATGGGAGACAAAGACGGAGGAGAAGCGGCTACTGCAACTTTGGAAAGAGAATGAGTATAAACATGAGGAAGAGAGAGAAGCTCGAGAGGGCAAAATCAAATCTCAAACTGCATTGTCTCATGTTATCCTTTTTTTCCTCTAGTTCGTAGAATTTCTTTGTCAAAGATCTCCTTTGCAGAGTTGTAGATCGTAGTCGTAGTCGCGGAGCGCTCCAAAACAACCTCCATATGAGTAGAGGTAACATAATTTAGAACTCCTTATTCGGTTTCTTGTTATTCATCGAACACCCTCGTTCGAACGTAGTTTGGAGAAGTGGAGAAGTTTGATCTTTGTTCTTGTTTTCGTTAATAACAGAGCGCATTAAATGCGCGAGTTTCCGCAGTGAAACAGATGATAGTCAATCTCGATAAGATTTAGCTTCGTGTAACTTCTACTCTTAATCTCTTATAATTTTAGCTTTCTTTAATGATTATGTGTAACTAAACCCCAATCGTTGTTTGCATCGGTGGAACCCTAGGCAATTCTAGGGTTTTGAACTTTATGGTTAAAATGAATTTTGGAGATATTTCACATGAATGGTTTTCTATATTGTGTTTGTTTATCCCTACCCTAATCTTAGGAAGCTAGCCTTAAGATTATGAATCTGCAAGAATCTATTATATATATATATATATATATATATATATATATATATATATATATATATATATATATATATGATGGTGTATTCTGTGCACCCACTTTTTTGGGTGTACTGAACGCACTCACTTTCTGATTTAATCTTAACTCTTCAATATATCTAATTGTTGACAATAATTAATATATTTCTAATTAATTATTAACTAAAAAAGAATACAATATTTATTAAAAGAATTTATAATTACTCGTAATTGCCATTAAGGACCAAATAGTAAGGGCCTTGCTATTTGCCGCCAAACAAATTGCTATTTGCCGCCAACTAAAAAAAAAAAAAAAAAAAAAAAAAAAGAAGAAGAAAGTATATATGTACATCTTTGGTTAAGTTTTTTCACAACCTACAACATTTTCAAGTTTCAGAAAACGTATTGAATCAGAAAAAATCGACGCTCGCCGGAAAAGTCGCCGGAAAACCATCGGGAAAGCCCATCCTCGACGTAAACTGCGGTCACGCATCCATGAATCATCACTAAGCAGGTGCGTCAACTTTTTTTTAGTTTCGAACAATTTTTCCGACGATTTTTAACGAACAGAGGGTGGGCCGAAATTTTCCGGCGGCCGGAACCTGGCCGGGCCGAAAATTTTCGGCGGCCGGAACCTGGCCGGGCCGACGGAAAAAGGTGGCCGGAGCCTGGCCGAGCCGAAAAATATTTTCGGCCCGGCCAGGCTCCGGCCACCTTTTTCCTTCGGCCCGGCCAGGTTCCGGCCGCCGGAAAATTTCGGCTCACCCTGTTCGTTGCAAATCGTCGGAAAAATTCGATTTTAGGAGTTGAATTTAGATTTTAGGAGTTGAATTTAGAGTTTAGGAGTTGAATTTAGCGTTTAGGAGTTGAATTTAGCGGTTAAGAGTTGAAATTAGCGTTTAGGTTCACAAGAATATTGATGTGTTATATTGTAATTGTAGGAAAAATGTCAGAGTGGTTACCGGCCGATCATGATTACACAGCAGAATTTGAGAATGGGATTCATTATGCAAGTGTGGAGTTAGCTGAGTTAGCTGCAATAGCAATCGCTCAGGAGAACGGGTTCTTTATTGTTAGAGGAGCATGGAAACCGAATACTTCTGGACTTACTGCCCTCTGTATGTATTGCGACAGAAGCAGTAGGATCGTTAAATCTTATAAACCAGACCCTACGAAGGAGACGCGTGGGAATACTAGTTCGAAGGGTACTGGTTGCCAGTTTCAGATATGTATTAAGGAAGTATGGCAAAAGGATCGTCCAAACACATGGGTCCTAGTGGGAGTGACAAGTCGTGCAACCGGAGCTAATAGAGGGTTTCACAACCATGAAAAGGTGTTGTATCCAGAACATCACCGACACAACAAACAGTTTAGTGAGGCTGAAAAAGAGAGGTTAAGATTAATGAGGAAGGCGGGGGTGAGACCAAATCAGCAGAAGACGACACTCAATACTGAAGGGGGTGTGAGTCATGATATCAAACAGATGTACAACAGAAATTACAAGAACAGATTGGATGAGATGGGTGAAATGGATGCGATACAGTTTGCGCTTCATGGAGCTGAACAACGTGGGTACCATATCTGTTTGCAAAAGGACTCTAATAATGTGCTCACTAATCTGTTTTTTGCGCACCCGACGTCCATTCAGATGTTGCATGCATGGCCGTACGTCATCATCATTGACTCGACCTACAAGACGAATAGGTATGGCTGGCCATGGGTTGAGATTATTGGGGTTACTCCAGTCAAGAAGAATTTCAACATTGCATGTGCACTTATTAAGCAGGAAACAAAGGAAACATATGAGTGGGTGCTGCGATGTATTAAAGGGTTGCTCGGTGATACGGTTCCGAATGTCATTGTGACAGACAAAGAAGGTGGTCTGCTTGCTTCTATGCCCCTGGTCTTCCCTCTCCCACATACTGTCCACCTACTATGTTTATGGCACGTCAACAACTGTGTGAAGCAAAAGTTTGAGCAATTACTGGGTGGAATTTCAAGAAGAGAGGTAGCAGAAGCGGTATGGAAGAAATATTTCGACAAAGCTATCTCCTCCAACTCGTCCAAAAATAGGTTCACCACCGGCCGAACCCTGTCTCTACTCTTGTCCACAAACAAAGTGGACCCCAACATCAACAACAAGTACGACTGCGCCTCTGTCACATGTGTCCCGTTCACCTGCAAGTACCTGGACGCCATGTCCGCAAGAAAACCACCCTTGTCGTACCACTTACCCTTACTACCAAATCCAGGGACCTCCGAACGACCACTCAACTGCTCCGAGTTCATCCCAAGAAGCGCACACAAACCCACCTCCGGATGGTCAAGCTGCTCAGAAGTCCTACTCATCAGTCGTCCCTCAACAGGAATCTGCAGTAAGTACTGAACATCGTGGAGGAGGATCGTCATCTCTCCAAAAGGCAAGTGGAAAGTGTTCGTGTCTGGCTGCCACCTCTCCACAAAAGCTGAGATCAAAGCCTCGTCAATCGCTATCCTGCGGAACATAGAGTAGATCAGGTGCTGGAGACCTGACTGCTGAACCAGATCCTCCGCCTAGCCATGACTAAACACGTAGTTCCCAAGATAGTCAACCGCCCCTGTACGGGTGTAGCAACTGATGACCCCTCGATCTCCAAGCCCCGTCCAAAGTGCGTAGGAAGCGTGGCCACGGAAGCTCCTAATGAGGCTAGGATCCGTAGGTCCACCAGGACACTCACCAACAAGCTCCCACGGTGGAGGATCACTCGAACGTCCTCCCCTACTCCGTCCAGTCCCCGAGCTCTCTGTCTCCTGACGAGCAGGTGGTACGAATCGCCCAGCTCGGTCCCTATACATAGCAGGACGTGATGTCGCCGTACGATCCTGCACTCGTCCATGTCCATGCGTAGGTGGAGGGACATCGACATCCTCATCATTATCGTCCTCATCTCTATCGTCCTCATCAAACTCAGCAGAGACCACTCTCGATGCAGCACCCTGGTTCCCCCCATGGGAACCAGACGCCCGTGATGACGAACGAGCAACTAAAGTAGGAGCCTCTGACTGATGTCCAATATCTCGAGTGCGCTTCTTCTCCTTATTCTTCTGAGGCACCTTCCTTCGTGTTGATGCATCAACAACCCTACCATTGAATCTACCCAACTCACTCCCACCCGCATCATCCATATCTAATTATCTACAAATTTACACAATATCATACTTAGATGCGCACTAATTAATTAAATTTCGATTAACTAATTAATTGTTAATTAATCACTAATTAATCAATATCATACATAGATGCGCACTAATTAATTAAATTTCTATTAACTAATGTACTATTAACATTAATTGTTAATTAATCACTAATTAACTGCAAGTCTATTAACTAATGTACTATTAACATTAATTGTTAAACCAATTCTTAATTATTTAATTTTCTATTAACTAATCTAAGTAATTAAAAAACATTTAATTAAGTAGTTAATCGAAATTAACTAATTAAGTAACTTTTATTGACTAATTAATTAACATATTAAATTAAATTAAATTAAAAAAACATGCCGGGCCGAAAAAAAATAGCGGCCGGCGCGCCGCCGGGCCGAAAAAAAATTGCGGCCGGCGCGTCGCCGGGCCGAAAAGATTCTGCGGCCGGGACGTGGCCGGGCCGAAATATTTTTTCGGCCGGGACGTGGCCGGGCCGAAACATTTTTTCGGCCGTCGCGACGCTCAGCCGAAAAAATATTTCGGCCCGGCCACGTCCCGGCCGCAAATTTTTTTCGGCCGGTCGCCGAACGCGCCGCCGGAAAACTTTTCGGCGGCGCTTTCGGCGACCGGCCGAAAAAAATTTGCGGCCGGAACGTCGCCGGGCCGAAAGAATTTTTCGGCTGGGCGTCGCGCCGGCCGAAATTTTTTTTCGGCCCGGCCACGTTCCGGCCGCCAAATTCTTTCGGCCCACCGTGTTTTTCGCCGGAAAACTGGAAAAATCGCCGGAAAAACAGAAAAAATTGTCGGAAAAAGTAAACTTACTTGTTTCCGACGATTGAGGACGACGGGAAGTTGGCCGGCGACGGAGGAACTGTGCCGGCGACGGAGGCACTGGGCTCGTCGACAAAAGTGTTTTGTTGGAATGAGGTAATGTTATGGTATTCAAATTTATAGGAAGGGAAGGAAGTGGAGAATTCAAAATTTGAATTCAAAATTTGAATTTTTTTTTTTTTTTTTTTGTTGGCGGCAAATAGCAATTTGGTTGGCGGCAAATAGCCGTTCACAATAGTAACTCATCTCGCAAATTCTTATTTCTTCCTATAACTGCCGCTCTCACCAAAACAGAAGATCAATTGGCCCTGCGGCGGCCGTGATCGTGCGGTGACTCCGACTCCGACAACTAAGAACAAGCCTTCGTCAAGCTTGAGTTCTCACCAGTGGCTGCACAAATCAAGATATCATTCACCAATTCATTACTTTTCTTCGCTGGTCTCCTCCTTCATTGTTCTATCTCTCGATTCTCGACGCAAGCCCGCAAGCGTTAGCAGGCTGCTACTGGCGTTAGTGGGGACAAACCGTCGCTTTTGAAAATTCTTTTCACTGAATTTCATGCCCGGATGGCGCTTAATTATTTCCCTCGTTCACACGTCTAAGTGTTAAATAAATTTATGTATTTATATATATAGCAATCCCAAACCGGTGATGTTTGTTAAAGTCGTCGGCGGAGGTAATTTTGAGCAGAGCAGAACTAATCCATCACGCAAGGACTCATTCCAGATCTGTTTAATCCGGCACTTTCCTCCATTTTTGAACGGAATTTGGTACGGCCTCATGTATGCTTTCTTGCCGATCCGTTCTCCGGGATCCACGTCAGGATCATGCTTGTCATCTACAGGCGTTCGCCGGCGGCAACATCGAAGCTTCTTGCTCGTCGTCGACTCCAACATTGAAAAGGGATGGTTACGTTGTACAAGGGGTGTATGGTCGAAGAAACCAAGATGTTTGTTCTCAGTTTTCGGAGTCGACGTCGCCTGTCACACTGAAATCGCGGCGGCCGCCAGTCCAATTGATCTTCAGTTTTGGTGAGCTCGGCACTGTTTGTTTTGATGGAAAGAAATCAGAATTTGCGAAATGAGTTACTATTAGGTCCTTAATTGCAATTACCAGTAACTATAAATTCTTTTAATAAATATTGTATTCTTTATTAGTTATTAATAAATTAGAAATATATTAATTATTCTCAACCGTTGGATATATTGAAGGGTCAAGATTAAACCAGAAAATGAGTGCGTTCAGTGCACCCAAAAAAATGAGTGCACCGAAGTAGTCACCATATATATATTCTAAGGCTCCAACTAACTAGTTAATTATAGTGAGAAAATAGCTTTTTTAAAAGAACCGAATCAGATCAATGACTAGACTTGTAGAACCGTCAAACCAGTTACTATAGCGGTCGGGTTCATTGCTTGGACGGTTTTTTATGGATCAAACGGTTTTTCATGGTTCAACATACAACTAGATGAAACACTACAGTTTAACTGGTCCACTAGTTCACTATTTTAACCGCAAATATTTTTAAAAACATACTTTAACATGAACTAAGATCGTTAAATCATAATTATTAATTTTATATCTGCTTCCTCTTCTCATTTTCCAACCTTGTTATCGACTTTGCGTGGTCCACTACCGACTGACATCGTAATTTTTAATTTACAAATTAAGAAATTTATAATTACTCTTGTGTGAGACGGTTTGAATTATTTATTAGATATTTTGATTATGATAAGAATTTGAAATTGTTTTGTTGGGGGCAATAGTGACTAGTGTGATTAGGGATGTCAATCCAACCCGTAACCATGGGTACCCTACCCGACCGTAACCGGTCAACGAGGGTAATTACCCGCTATGACGGGTTAAGGGGCGGGTACGGGTAATACCCGGTTTCAAAATAAAGGGTAGGGTACGGGTATGGTAATCGATAATACCCGCCCCGTTATACCCGCCCCGCTAACCAAAGGGTCAATTTCCCTTGAGAAATTTATTTTAGCTTGAGAAATTGAGTTTAGCTATCATTATTGATGATGAATATGTAGACGATTATTATGTTTGTGTGGATTGTAGAAGCAAGAACAATTATTATGTGTTTGTTGTTTTTATTTGTGTGGATTGTTGAAGCTAGAACAGTTACAACTTACAAGTATTGAGAATTTTTAATGGACAACAGTATATATGTGTATAAGTTCATAGTTTAGGATTCGTACCCATGGTTACCCGAATACCCGTGGTTATCCAGTGGGTAGGGTATGGTTATATCATTTTCATACCCGGTGGTTATTTGGTCGGGTATTTTAGAAAGCTCTACCCGGCGGGTTAGGAGTTGGTATAGGGTAAACCCGCACCCGACCCTACCCATTGCCATCCCTAAGTGTGATTCACTTTGAGACGCCATAATGCAACAGCAAAGTTATACATGGTATTTATAAGAGAGGCCTGCTGCTTGCCCGATTCAGGGTTCGATGCAGAATTAACCCTTTCAAGCCAATTAAACCACATTGGTTTTCGGTTTTACGCAGCCAAATCTAGCTCTACACAATATCCAGCTTTTTCACTACTTAACCAATAGATGCTGTGCTGTGTGCACTAGTGTTTGATAAATACCACCATATGCTTGTCATGCTCAGATGAATGATTATGAAGGATCACACAAGAAAACTCAGTGAACAATGGAAAGCAACCTGGGAATTGGGATCCTTCTCTAAACATATATGCCAATCATAAATGAGCACAAGTATTTAAGAACGTTGGTATGGCGGCTAACTGATCAGAAAGAACACATCAATCTGACGAGAAAATTGAGATAACACAAAAGTACTCTAACATTCATAGATAAACTAGGATACCAACTTCAATGAAACATATCCTTCAAAATTAATTCGACGGAACACAGGAACAAGTACCCATAATCCCAATATTCGAATCCCATTGATAACACTACTTGGTCTCAAAACATGAACAAAACACCAGAAGATCCAGTCGAACACAGAAAATTTTCGGAGCAGCTTATCGCTTCTTGGACACACCAACAGTCTTTCCTCTACGACCAGTGGTCTTGGTGTGCTGTCCCCGGACCCTCAAGCCCCAGTAGTGACGCAGACCACGGTGGTTCCTGCAACCACGATAAGAAAAAGGAGCTAAATACCACATACAAGCACAAAATGGGAATGAATGTCGTGCTTCCAAGGTTCAATCATATAACCAACCACAATAACCAATTGATACACACCTGATCTTCTTCAGCCTCTCAAGATCATCTCTCAGCTTCATGTCCAATGCATTGGAGACAACCTGGGAGTGTTTCCCATCTTTGTAGTCCTTCTGCCTGTTGAGGAACCAGTCTGGGATCTTGAACTGACGAGGGTTGGCAACAATTGTCATCAGCTTATCAATCTCATCAGCAGACAGCTCTCCAGCCCTACACGAATCCCAAATATCAGAATATGAAAACCTCAACAGAACCTTATGATGCTTCTAAGGCAAAACAAGCACATAGACAACCCAATGAAATACACCTCCCTGCCTAGCCTTAAAGAGTCCAATACCAATGAAAATCAACACATCGGGAGCATGTTATCGAGAAAAAACGCCCAGGAAAAGGGTAACCAAATCGAAAGCCCTAGGTTTGCCTAATGAGGAGCAACATAGAAAAGGGTAACCCAAATAAAAACCCTACGTTTGATGTTCTAATAAGGGGGAAGACATCCAAGGGTTTCTGAATCCAGAGCAACAACGGGGAACACAACAATCTTCTCTCCAATTCATATCCTCAGAAGATAAACTGAGACACAGTATCAAAGCCACTTCTCATAAATCAAATTCAGCTCAAGTCAATTCAGAACAAACAAGACTACTACATCAACCAAGCAAACAAATGAAACCGTGGAAAACAGAAAGAAACGGGGATCGGGACACGAAGACGCATACCTCTTGTTCATGTCTACATCGGCCTTCTTGCAGACGATGTTGGCGAAGCGGCGACCGATACCCTTGATGGAGGTCAAGGCGAACATGATCCTCTGCTTGCCATCGACGTTGGTATTGAGGACACGAAGAATGTGCTGAAACTCTTCATTGGCAACGAGCGACTGCAGCAAAAAAAAAAAAATCAAAAAGGAATCAGTGAACTAGTGGAGAAATCACCAGCTACCAAAGATCTCGACGAAGGAAGACCTACCATGGCTGCCTTTGCTTAGGGTGTTCTCTCGCGTTCTCTCTTGCAAGTGGCGCCGCTGGAGCTCTTGCGCGTCGGAGAGTGATATTAGAGATGCACAGTCTGCTAAAACCCTAATGCACTTGGCTATATATATTTTCAAGCCTATTATACAACTCTTTCGGACTGGCAATTTTGGGCTGGCTGCTTAGGGCCGACTGTAGGTAAACCCAGTTCGTTGGTTTCGGCCCAACGTTCTCGCTCCAATCCGGCCGAACGCAACAACGAAAAGGCCAAATTGTTAATATATTTTTATCATTTTTTATTAATTATATTTATAAAAAATAATACTCATTTCATTCTAATAACTGTATTTTAAAAAATTTGACTTAATTTCTACATAAGTTACACTGGAAAATAAGTGTTGGGCATGTGACTCGGACCTAGCCACGCCAGGGACACGCGCCAAACATAAGCCCAAATGCCGCCAGACCCGCTGGTGCGCGACGCGATTCTAGACCTCCAGTGCGCCTTGGCGCGAAGAGTTTGGGCGCGGCACAGGCTACGCGCGAATAGAAAGGAACAGGCGTAGAGTAGACCACAGAGCCGCAAGAAGCCCCGTCACGTTTCCCAAGGGATGGTCACATCAGAGTCCTAGATATGGTCGTAGGTACACCTCTGACATGTCCTAGGAGGCATGGCCTAAATCCCTGACACGTCAGTGGTCATGTCATTGTCACATCATGTAACTCAACCACTCACCCACCACCTTGTAGCCTATAAATACGGCATTTACTCTGGTGGGTGAGGGGATCGCATTTTTCACATTCTATCTCTATAATATCAACTTCTCTCTCTAAAAACTTCAACTCTTTGGTTCTCATCCTTCTGAACGATTTTCCCCTCTTGTGTCCTTCTTGACCCACATTTTTCCCCGAACCTCACTCCTACACTCAGTTAGGTTCAAACAATTGGCGCCCACCGTGGGGCCAAGAAGAAACGCAAAAGAAAATCAACCAATGGCGGAACGCAACAACGACTCACCTGACGAAGCAACGCCCATCAAAGCGATGACCGACCCGAGGGCGTTGTCACGACCTTACTCTCGATCGTGCGGCCCTAGCTCTCAATTCCGTTAGAGCGCTAGGCAGCCTTTCTCTCAACTCACTTGAAAGCAAAGAACAAGAACAAAGACACAAGGATTGGGAGAACTCTCTAGTGTGTATTACTCTCAAAAATGATGGAATGAGTTACAAGTGAGGGAGATGGCTCCTTATATAGGCCTCTCCTCATACAAGGCATCAATGCCACTCATAATGTCTCTCTACTACATCAATACACCCCATAAAGTCCCCCCATAATGCACTCTATTTATACTACCATAATGTAGCCCATAAGTGCACCATTAAGCTCTCATTTAGGTGGAGAATCCTAGGAGCATCTCTATGCTACTAGTCTTCCATACATGCCACATGTGCAGCCGCCTTGTTGTCACCTTGTTGGCGCCATGTCATCTGCCACATGTGACATCCTCCCCCACCTATGCTCGCGACGCCCTCGTCGCGTCCTCTTGATGGAATGCCTCGATCAAGTCCTTGTTCTTCCAAAGCGTGAGCTCTTTCTCCCAAGTTGCTTCACTTTCCGGAAGGTTGCGCCACTTGACCAAGTACTCCACAAAGCTTGGATGTACGCCACGACGAGGAATGACACGACGCGCCATGACTTCTTCAACTTCATGGTCGTGTGTCTTGGTGATGAGTGTTGGAGCGCGCTGCGACTCTCTTCGTTGCTCATCATCCTTGTCTTCGTGGAAAGGCTTGAGTTGGCTCACATGAAAGACCGGATGGATCTCCAAGTGCGTCGGCAACTCAACCTTGTATGCCACTGCGCCAATCCTCTTCACGATGGGGAATGGCCCTTCATAGCGGCGAAGCAGTCCCTTGTGCACGTTCTTGAGATGCTTGAAGCGATGAGGGTAGAACTTGATCATCACCATGTCTCCCTCTTCGAATTCCAAGTGCCGCCTCTTCTTGTCCGCCCATTTCTTCATCTTCTTACTAGCGCGGGCTAAGTAAGACTTGGCCATCTCCATCTTCTCGTGCCAGCCTTTAGCAAACTTGTAGGCCGCCGGACTGTTGCCTCTATATCCCGTTGCCACCGTCGTAGGTGTCAAAGGTTGCTGCCCCGTCGCCAACTCAAATGGACTCGTGTTGGTCGACTCGCTGCGGTGCAAGTTGTAGGAGAATTGTGCCGTATCCATCAACTTCACCCAGTCTCGTTGGTTTGCACTTACGTAGTTTCGCAAGTACACTTCCAACAAAGCATTCACCCGCTCCGTCTGTCCGTCGCTTTGAGGATGAAATGCCGTCGAGAAGTTCAAGTCTGAGCCCATGATCTTGAACAACTCTCGCCAAAATCTGCCCGTGAAGCGCCCATCTCTGTCGCTCACGATGTTGCTAGGAACGCCCCAATACTTGACCACGTTCTTGAAGAATAGTCGCGCCGCATCCTCTGCCGTCATGTCTTTTGGGCCGGGGATGAACACTCCATACTTCGAGAATCTGTCCACCACAACCATGATGCAACCGCATCCATCGACTTTGGGAAGTCTGATGATGAAGTCCATGCTTACACTCTCCCATGGTCGTTGAGGTGTGGGCAAGGGCTCTAGCAAGCCTGCCGGGCTTCTCTGCTCCATCTTGTCTTGTTGGCACACAAGACAAGTCTTCACATACATCTCCACGTCGTCTCTCATACGCGGCCAGAAATATGCTTCTTCAATGAGCGCTTGCGTTCTCTCGATGCCGGGATGGCCCGCCCACTTGGAATCATGGCACTCCTTCATGATCTCCTTCCTCAAGTTGGCCCATCTTGGCACGAACACACGCTCTCCCTTGGTCATGATGAGCCCATCCTTCATCCAAAACCGTCGAGTCTTGCCTTGCTCGATGTACTCCGCTACGGTTTTGGCGAAGGGGTCATGGCCAAGGCCTTCAACGATCCGCTCCTTCAAAGGAAACATGGGCTGGCTGATGCTTGCGGCGGCACTCTTGCGGCTAAGAGCATCGGCAACGAAATTCGCCTTGCCTGGGTTGTACTCCATGACGAAGTCGAACTCGGCCAAAAAGTCTTGCCACCTCGCTTGCTTGGGGGTGAGCTTCTTCTGCGTCAGAAAGTAGCTCGTTGCCACGTTGTCCGTCTTCACTACGAACTTTGACCCCAACAAGTAGTGCCTCCATGTGCGCAAGCAATGCACCACGGCCGTCATCTCCTTCTCTTGAACGGTGTATCGCCTCTCCGTCTCGCTAAGCTTCCGACTCTCGAAGGCAATGGGATGCCCATCTTGCATCAACACGCCCCCAATCGCAAAGTCGGACGCATCGGTCTGCACTTCGTAGGCTCGAATGCTTCTTGGCACCTTTCCGACCAATCCCACGCCTTGTTCTTCTTCAAGAGATCCGTCAAGGGTGCTGCAATGTTGGAGTAGCCCTTGATAAACCTCCGATAGTAGTTGGCAAGACCGAGGAATGACCGCAATTCTGGCACCTTCGTCGGCGGCTCCCATTCTTGGATTGCCTGCACCTTCGCTCCATCCATCTTCAACTTGCCTCCACCAATGATGTGCCCCAAGAATGGAACCTCCGTGGCGGCAAATGTGCACTTCTCCCTCTTGACGTACAACTCGTTGTCGCGAAAGACTTGGAAGACTTGGCGTAGATGCTCGGCATGCTCATCGAGTGTTTTGCTATACACGACGATGTCATCCAAGTAGACCACGACAAACCGGTCCAAGAATGGCTCGAACACTTGATTCATCAAAGTGAAAAACGTGGCTGGTGCGTTGGTGAGACCGAATGGCATCACAAGAAACTCGTAAGAGCCATACCTCGTCACACAAGCCGTCTTTGGCTCGTCTCCCTCTGCTATCCGCACTTGATAGTAGCCCGAGCGAAGATCTAGCTTGGTGAACCACATAGCATCTCCAAGCTGGTCGAACAGATCGCCAATGTTGGGAATCGGCCACTTGTTCTTCACCGTCAACTTGTTGATGGCTCTATAGTCGATGCGCAACGACCCTTCCTTCTTCTTTTGGAACAACACCGGTGCTCCAAAAGGTGACTTTGATGGCCGCATGTAGCCTGCGTCCACCAAGTCCTTGAGCTGCCTCCGCAACTCCTCTAGCTCCGGTGGCGACATGCGGTATGGTGCTCGCGAAGGGGGCTTCGCTCCTGGCTCCAACTCGATCTTGTGGTCCACCTCTCTTCTTGGTGGCAGCTTCTTGGGCAACTCCGATGGCATCACGTCATCGAACTCTTCGAGGACACCTTCGATGATGGGAGTTGTGATTCCCGCTGAGCCTCCTTCTTCCTCCATTTTCAAGGACACAAGAAAGGTTGGTTCATTCTTCTTGAACCCCTTCAATACCTGCATGGCCGATAGAGCACTATGGGGGCCATCTTCTCTCAAGAGATGGATCATGTGAAACTCCCCCTCCTTCTCCAAGCACATCGTGTTGGAGTTGGGCTTCAAGAGCACTCCCTCCTTGTCGAGGAAGTTGATGCCGAGGATGACTGGGTGATCGTCCATGGTGACAACGGAAAAGTCGATGAGGCCTTCCCACTCGCCAAGCTTCACTGGCACGTTGTGAGCAACTCCATGGATTGGGATGGACTCCGAGTTGATCGTCTTGAGCCTCCCTTGCCCTTTCTCATAAGCAATACCCAGCCGGTTTGCCTCCTCGATGCGAAGGAAGTTGTCCGTGGCACCGGTATCCACCAAGGCCTTTGACTCGCCTTGCATGAATTGCGCCAGAACATAGCACCTCCCACGCTTGCTCTCCTTGACGTCGGTCTTCACCCGCCAAGCTTGCGGATTGAGCCAATCTTGGCCTCCGCCGCCTTGGGCTCCTCCTCTTGAGCTTCCATGGCCGCCAATCTCGCCTTCCTTGGACAATCCCGCACTCGATGTGGTCCATCGCAAAGGAAACAAGTCATGGGTTTTGGCTCGTACTTACCCCCTTTGCTTGAACCACCTTGGTGTTGTTGAGTGCGAGAACCCTCCTTGAAAGGTTTCTGCTGCTCTCCACCCTTGTTGGGCTTCGAACTCTTATCTTTGCCGCTGCTCTC